ATATGTTCTCACCTCATTGGAAGATTTGGAACAAAATTGAATAGAGAATATTGTAACTAAATGATTAAGATTTTTTCTAGACTAGTGACTTAACAATCTAAAACCACAAATATTGCCAACTCATGCACTTAGATACACGTATAAGCTATAGACTTCCCACCTCCACATTTTGGAGTGGTGAATAATCACTAATCATTAACTCCTAATGATTACAAACTTGCCAACTCACCCTTATGTAGACTTCCATCTCTTATTTTAGGTGATGAATAAGACCTACTTTACTCTCTAATGATTGTCAAAATGGCACTTTGCTTTTGTGAGAAAATAAGCCAAACTCATCATAATCTCCTTCTCCAATTCAAACTAAAAATATCTCTAATTACATATGAACATGAAATACTGCTAGCTAGTTTTTGAAATAATTTGAAGCAAAAAGGATTTTACATTGAAATTATTTCAAATATCGAAAGTAGGTTCTTGCATAAAATAAATCTAATAAAATCATTATGTAAAAATAATTACCCCCCCCCACACACACACACACACACACACACATATATATATAACCTTTTTTTTAATACGGGGTATTACAGTTCGGATCCACACTTATGTACCAAGGCAATACTCCTCTATACCACTGTGATAATCGGTCCCTAATTTTACGATTTTATTAATTTTAAAGGAGGGAATTGACGAAAATACCCTTAGAGTCGAGGATACTGACTTTCATTGACTATCTTTTCGTGATGAGTACGAGCCTCCATTTTACCATATTCTCGAAATACTCGACGGTACGAACACGTAAGCTTAAGCGGAATCGAATTTGGAGCTACAATGAAGATTTTACGAAAGTACGAAGTAGAAGGGCATTTTAGTAAATTCATTATCTCAGATATTCACCCTTACTATTTTATTATTTTCATGGGTTATCTGTGTCCATGGGAACCACCCATATGGGTCTCCTCTCATTTTTTTTCCCCGTGTCCTTTCCTTCCCTATCTTCCGGACCTCTCTCTTTCTACCATTACACTCTCTCTCACCTTACTTCCTCCACTCCCTTGCTGCCATCTCACCCTACCACACTGTCACTCTAACTCTCCTCATCTTTCCCTTAGCTCTATCTCGCTTATCTCTCTCTGCAAGTGTAGAGACACCACCGGCCGCCATCTCTGTCGAAGCCACACAGTGAGACTGCACCACCACATTCACTAACTTTTTTAGGCGTTTGAGGTGGGACACACAAACCCGAGCCTAGACTGAGATTATAGCTTACGAACTCGAACCCAAATGTCAACCTCCATATTTTTCAGCTAACTACACCTCCAACCACCGCGTTTCTCTTTCTTGTCACTCTCTCTATCTCAAATGTTATCCCATCCTTCTCTCTGCTCAATGCATAGAAGCATTGTGGAACCACCATTGTTCCTGAAATTATTTCGACGAGTTCTCCACGATCCCGGCATAGGTAAGCCTTGGGGACACATTCTTTCTTTCCATTTTGATGTTCTGATGTGATTGCTGAGCCTACATGCATGAATGGGTGAAGTTTTGATGGAGAAATGGCACAGGGGAATTTCCCCAGTTTTACGACGAGGAAACTAGTAGCTTCAAGCCCTTTTCCGGCCAACTTCGACCACGGCCGAGGAAACTAATGGTGCATTTCAAATCATTGTTCCCTGATCTTCGATTTGGTATTTTAGGTGATTAGGTTTAGTGAAGATTTGTGGTTATTCGAACCTCGTTTTGTTCTCCGGTGAAATTTCCAAAATCCGGCGGTTGCAGTGGCAACCGACCGGAGAAGAAGGAGAAAAAAAGGCCTTAAGCCCAAAACCCGGCACATGACCCAAGCCCAGATCTGTGGGCCAGATCCGGCCCAGACCCATTTATGAAATTTGAGAGAAAATTCCCTTGGAATATTCTTGGAATATTCCCTGTGTTGACTTTTATGAAATTTTCTCGGAAACCCTCCTAGGCTAATTTTGACATCCCGAGTCCGTTTTTGGCATCCATTGAATGAAATTATAAATTTTTAATGTAGTTGACCACCGGGGCGTCTCGGTTGACCGTTGACTTTTTGTAAAATTTGCCGGGGACCCTCTTTAGCGTATTTCGACGCCCTGATTCCAAATTCACACTCTGTTTTCCCAAATTTAGTTATTTTAGTGGAGTTTTACTAATGGGTCTTAATATTATGCTTAGGTGCGATTATTATCGGTGACTCCAACTTTCTTAGTTTGAATGGTTGTGAGCTCTCAAATCTTTGTGAGTGGGTCTTTTCTTTGATATATACATATATTTATTTAGTTTCCATATATACATCTAATAATGAATTTTCTATATGACTGTCGTAATTAAATTAATGTTTGTAGGAAATGATGTAACGTTGAGAATTAGAAAATCATTATACATCTTAGAGGATGCCTTAATTAACTTTACGACTATGAATAGTATTTCATTGACTAGGGTTATTGAATTATCGATTTACCATTGCATGACTATGTTTATGTTATTTGCTCATCGTTTGCTGCACCGGTGTTAGTACTTGTCTGGGCTAGGGCCAGTCACGTGTATGTGCAGATCGCACCGTACGCTCACTTTGGATCCATTGTAGGTGCCAGTCCTATCCTAGATTGCTATAGGTAATTAGGACTCATATGTGCTGCGCATAGCGCCATGCCTTCACGTGATTGTAGTACGAGCGTATATCATTATTACACCTAGTCTTGTTCATGTCAGAATATCTTTGCATGAACTCATGTATCAGCATGTGCCAATGAGCACTCGATATTATATGTTGCTTATGTGAGATTATGTGATTATGGACATCATGCGCTTATTTATGAGAGATTGTGCCGTATTGAATTCTTGAGACATTGCAGGTTATGGTAAGTATTTCATACTATACGCAGTATGTATATTTTGGAAACTATACTTGTTTTTCGGTGATGGGTTATAAAGTTTTCGAAAAGGACTTTTTTTTAGGTCCACTCACACTTGTTTTTCGCCCCTCCAGGTTTTAGCAGTTGAACTTTCGTATTGACGAGGATTCTTGGCAAATAACAGTATAGGTGGCTACCTTCGATGGTATAATTCTCATCCTACTTTACTATACTTTACTTATGCTATGACATCACGTGTGAAATGGGTTCATTCCCGTTCACTAGCCCACTTTTGTATTTAGACACTTTTAGGTTTAAATTTATTCACATTTTCCACATCACTACACTTCATGCCTTTGTCACCCTCTTGGTGTTAGCCAGCACAGCTCGATTCGGAGTCCAGGTTAACATTCCGGGTCAGGGTGTGTCAACCATTGTGATAGAGGGCCATTTGCACACGCTATATAAGTTTGAGTTAAGCAATAAAACAAAGGGTTAAAGTATGAATAACTACGATTTCAAATAATTATACCTATACCAAAACTTAACACAAAAATACTGTACATTAACAGTAAACGGACTGAACTACCCTTCAATTCCTTTGTAATCAGCCATTTTTTCCACTTTTTACATAATGAAAAGACGACTTTGCCCTCTTAGGCCACGCATCCATCATCGTCGAAGGCTTTACTTCGACTACATCTTCTGGACTATTCCTTCAGTTTCTACCCCTCTCTTTTGCTTTCTCTCACACAAATCTCTGCTTTGCTGAAAAACCACCCAACTAATATATGCTTTTGGTTTGATTCGAAGAAAAAATTTACCTAGAAAGGATACTGTTTCTTGGTGAGTTCTTCAGATCTTACATGTGGGGGTTTTTTTTTTTTTGTTCAAATATGGGGGTTTTGTGATTTTGGATTTGGAAATAGGTTTTATGTTGAAATTTCCTTTTTGTGATTTTGGATTTAGAAATGGGTTCTCTGTTGAATTTTTTTTTGTGACTTTGGGGGACTTGATAGAGGGAATTGGGCCATCGATGAGATCCATGGGCAGAGATCGGGATGCGAAGAAGATATTGAGAGCAAGTCCAGCGGGGGCTTGTGCCTGATGGACCGTGGATTGCACAGGACCCAATTGCTGGGGCAATGAACTCCAGCCCATGCGGGCTTCAGCGCCGGAGGGGGCTCGAGGGACAGGCTCGGCACAAATTGGTGGCCTGAGAACCCGAGGTGGAGGTGATGCAAGGCTGACGTCAGTCACAATATAAAATTAATACAAATATAAAATATTAATAAAAAAAGTAAAAAATTAATAAAAAAATTATTGATTTAATTTTTCTATAAATATGTTATCATTATCTTCCAACTTACACCATAATTTTATATTTCCTCAAATACTTTGGGTTGTAATTTCTTATTTAATGACATGTGGTACAACGAGACCGATTAAAAATCATATCCGAAATTACAAAAAAAATTATTTTTTCTTATTTTATAAAATAAAAAAAAACTAATATTTTATTGCCTATTGTCATGGCTATCAGTGTAGGGGTGAAGATGCAAAAGGCAGTTACTGTTCATTGGAGGCTATTCAATAGTGACTTGCCCTAGGGGGCCTTTGCAAAGGTGGAGTTGCTCCAAGAGGTTTTTCAAACTCTTCAGCTTCATTGAAACATTGTGACTCTATTTTCTTCGAGCAAAGATACTTTCCTCTCCTCTTCTCTTGTAACCTATATCCACGGTATACTCTTTCTCGATCTAATTTAAGTGATTGAAAATTGGGTTTGGTGATTTTTTTGATGTTTTTGTATGTTTTAGTTGTTAATTGCCTTACAGAGTTTTTTTTTTGGTGATTTTTTGTTGCAATATTTGTTGAATTGAAGAGGTCGCACTTGGTGCGATGGCAAGTGCCTTCGCCCATGAGCGGTAGGTCTCGAGTTCGAGACTTGGGAGCAGCCTCTCCATAAATGGGGGTAAGGCTAGCCGACATTCACCTCTCCCAGACCCTGCGTAAAGCGGGAGCCTTGTGCACTGGGTACGACCTTTTTTTTAATATTTGTTGAATTGAAAAAGATTTGAAGGCTGCTTTTTTTTTTTTTTTGTGGTTCAATTTGCAGATTCCATATTGCATGTGCTACTTTACCAATATGTGAAATGTTAACGCCTCTGAACCTATTTTACTCTGGCAAGGATACGAGAATTGTGTCCAAAACTCCCCAACTTTTATAAATGTTTGGGAATGATGTCTTCTGAACCAAATACTTCCCAACTTTTTAATCGAAATATGGATTTGCTTTTTTTGGTGAACGACTGACCAAATTTAATTTGAAAATTGAGCCTATTTGAGAGAGTTAATTCGTGAAGAATATCCTACTTTTGTTACCTAGAGGTGTTTATAAAGAATCTGATCTATTTATAAAGTAGTTCATTCTTTGAAGTCAACCACAAAATTTAAAGTGGGTTATAGATGCTATTGCTTGATTCTTCAATTCTAGCAAAGGGGTTCATCATTCTCTTATCAACATTTATTTTAAGCTCAAGTTCATGACATTATTGTCAGGGGAAAAGTCACTGGCAGCAATCACCTTGTAATCATCGCAGGAAAAATATCGTAGTCATTTTGAGCTCGGATTCAGCGAACCTGTGGTAAACCTTCTTTTCCGATTACTTTCATTTATTTATTTGTGAATCAACAACTTTTTAGGAATAATGAATGTCACAATTGCTGATAAATCGATTCTTTGTTCGGAACCTGAACTATCGATCTGTGCAAAGTAGTACATCCATATATAGATCAATGCTATGGATTCTTCTCAACCTATAGACCTCAAATTTCGGTGCGTCTTCCATCATTCTCCTACCTCACTATATATGGAGCTTTTACATTAAATTGGGTAGTTTCGTGAATGAGAATAAGCATGTATCTGTCTCTGTTTGTCTTTGAGTTTACTCTTATTAGAAGTTGGAACATTGTCAAGACAAGCAGAGAATCCGTTTCTCTACGAAAGAGGCGGTTGTCACTGCTAATCCAGGGACAATAATTTGAACACCATGAAAAAAAATAATTAAGGTAAATAATAAGCCTTATATAATTTGTTACATTATCAATCAGTAATTTGTTGGTCGTAAATTTGGACAGTAAAATAAAAGGTTATGCAGGTTTTGTATATTTGAGTGTGTTATATTCTTTGAGAATGATCTTTGTTGTTGTAGTTTTTGGTTGCAGATATGATCCCTTGAACTTGAATTAATTGGATCACTCTTTTTTCCTCGCATGGAGTAAAGGTAAAACCACTATATTTTTTACTTATTACTTTTTTTTTTAATGTGTTCTGATTATGAGATTGTCTATTGTTTGTTTAATGATTGTTTGGATGCTTAAAAATGTTCTTTGTTTTGTCTTTTTAAACCAGAATGAATCGGTATAGATTCTGTGTTTAGTTTCCTTTTGCTTTATCAATTTACCTTACTTCTTTGAACCAAATGCAAGTTCCAATATTGCATTGTTAACAAAATAATTATATGAAATTGAAGCTTTCGTTGATTAAGAAATCTCTTTTTGTTCAAATAGCGTTATAAGTTTTGTCGGGACAGAGGTTCAGGGCCGAAGGGGTAGAGGAAGACCTAGGAAAACTTTGGAAGAGACCCTAAGAAAAGACTTGAGTACTTGGATCTAACGGAAGACATGACACAAAACCGAGCGCAATGGCGTTCTAGGATTCATATAGCCGACCCCACTTAGTGGGAAAAGGCTTTGTTGTTGTTGTTGTTGTAGCGTTATAAGTTTTGTGTCCTTTTTTTTCTTTCTCAACAGGTGGGCTTAAAAGAGATCAAGTGTTAATAAGGACCTTGAAATGGAGTATGTATTAAGATTCATCAATGGTGGTACAAAATGTAAGCATCACTAGACCTGGAATTCGTGTCGTGTTTTCCGTGTTCGTGTCGTTTTCGTGTCATACCCGATATCTTAACAGGTCATGTCGTGTAACACCCGTTAAAATAAATAGGTAAAATGATCCGACCCGAAATCGGCCCGATAATATTAACAGGTAATATGACCCGACCCATTACCCGTTAAGGAAAATATAGTTTAAACCAATAAATAATCAAATGAAAAACATAATACTAAATAAGTATATACATACCATATTGTCACATCCAAAACATAAAAACGCAATTTTCTTTTAAGTATATTTCACTTACCTAAAGTCTTTAATATTTTTTTAATTAATGTAGAAGTGTAAAAAAATATAGAAAAAAATATATAAACGCTCGAAATGACAAGCTTTACAACTTTCATGAATAGCTTAAGTTTGAAATTCACCACTATAATCATATAAATCATAGATCAAAATTTAACCATTGATTGTTGTTTACATTTACGCTTCATTGCTCTCATCAAATTTTGTTTTTTCAGATTTTCTTTTTTGAAAACTTGATCTACTAGAGGATGTAGGAAGATGAACGGTTTGGATCGTTGATATTATATTCAAAGTTTTACAGTTAGTGAAAATATTGCTTGATGTTTATAAAGATTCTACAAACTATATGACATCGACTCATATTTCAGTTAACCATAAATATCGAAACGTGATATCAAAGATCTGAACCATTCATCTTCTTACATCCGCCAGATGATCATGTTTTCAAAAAATAAAATTTAAAAAATGAAATTCAGTAAGAAGAATAAAGCGTAAATGGCAATCGACGGTTAAATATAAATTTAAGGTTTATGAATTATAGTGTTGGATTTCGAAGCTGACCCCTTCATGAAAATTGTAAAGTTTGTCACTATGAGTGATTGTATATTTTTTTTTTACATTTTTTACACTTCTACAATAATTATTATTAATTTTATTAATTTTGCCTCAAATAAAAACATTATTCATGAAGGTTTGGAGGATTTTAAAAATCTAAACGATAATGCAAGTGTAACCATTATCTACTCGTGGAGGAATAATGATGAATCACGAGTGTTTATATATTCTTTCACATTTTTCATATGTGTATGTATGTCTTCTTAGTTCTTGCCTATACAAATACTATATTAGTTTATTTTAATTTTGGACAACAACATGTTAAGTAAAATTTATCCTAGTAATGATAATAAGGAACTCTCATAATAAAAATAAATAATGACAAAAACTTTTTTTTAAAAACTTATATAGAATAATAATACAAAACTATATATTTAATATAGAATATATTGTATATATTACTATGGCTATTGTATTTTATAATAAATCTTTTAGTAATTAAACTTTAAAATTATCAAAATAATTTTTTTCTTAACGGGTTGAAACGGATTAACTCCGCCTATGTCTTACATGGCCGGTCCCAAGCCCGGATAAAGGAGGAGGGGGAGGGCGTCAGGTAGTCGACAGCCGGCACTCCATGATCACGTCGAATCCTTATGAAAATGAATCCAGAACAAAATCGCGCTAAAGCTAGGGCGTCACCCGTAAGTGGCGCGCTGTGTGGCCCGAGCACAGTGATAAGTGAGCAAGGGTCGCTGTATCTCCATCGGCACCCGGATGCAGTGTTAAATGAGCAAGGGGGCCATAGAAACTTCTTTTCGAACGACTCCACTCAAAGTTGTTTGGGAGCATATGCTCCTATCAACTTTACCCGGGACACACAAAAGAAGTACTTTGATCCTATTAGACGGGGGAGGGTGAAGAAGCTAGGACAGAAGGGTAGAGTTCAAGAGAGCAAAATGCGTTTAGGAACATGGAATATAGGAACCTTAACGGGAAAATCTATGGAAGTAGTAGAAGTTATGGTGAGGAGAAGGATAAATATTATGTGCCTACAAGAAACTAAGTGGGTTGGTAGTAAGGCAAAGGATCTAGAAAACTCAGGGTTTAAACTTTGGTATTCGGGCACAAATAGAACGAGAAACGGTGTTGGCATCATCGTGGACAAGACCTTGGTACAAGATGTTGTAGATGTCAAGAGGGTAGGAGATAGAATCATGGCAATCAAGATTGTAATAGGACAAGAACTTATCAATGTGATTAGTGCGTACGCACCTCAAGTAGGGTTGGATACGAGTTCGAAGGAGAAATTTTGGGAAGATCTTGGAGACTTGGTGCAAGGAATTGCTCAGACGGAGAAGTTATTTATAGGAGGAGATTTAAATGGACACGTGGGCAGGGAGACAGGCAACTATGGAGATTTTCATGGTGGCCATGGTTTTGGGGAGAGAAACGAGGATGGGGAAGCTATCTTGGATTTTTGCAATGGCATATGATCTCTTCTTAGCCAACACCTTCTTTAAGAAGAGAGAAGAACATGTGATCACCTACAAAAGTGGGTCGTCAAAAACACAAATAGATTTTCTTCTAATGAGGAAAGGGGATCGTATAACTTGTAAGGATTGCAAAGTTATACCAGGAGAGAGCGTGGCTAATCAACATCGCTTGTTGGTGATGGATGTACATATCAAAAGAGTAAGACAAAAAGAACAAGACTTGGAAGTGCCCAAGGACTAGATGGTGGAATCTAAAAGAAGAAAAACAAGTCATTTTCAAAGAGAAGGTAATCACCCAATGTGTGTGGGATAGAGAGGGGGAAGCTAGCCAAATGTGGGATTCCATGGCTAGTTGTATCCGAAAAGTAGCAAAAGAGGTATTAGGAGAGTCCAAGGGCTTTGCCCCACACCAAAAGGAATCTTGGTGGTGGAATGAGGAGGTACAAACAAAGGTGAAGGCTAAGAAGGAATGTGTTGTAAAGCCTTATACAAGGAGAGGACCGATGAAAATGGTGAAAGGTATAGAAAAGCGAAGCAAGAGGCGAAGAAAGCTGTCAGAGAAGCTAAGTTAGCGGCTTACGACGATATGTATAAACGACTAGATACCAAAGAAGGAGAGTTGGATATCTATAAACTATCTAGAGCAAGGGAAAAGAAGACAAGGGACCTAAACCAAGTGAGGTGCATCAAGGATGAGGATGGAAAGGTTCTTGCTACAGAGAACGCGGTTAAAGACAGATGGAGAGGTTATTTTCATAATCTTTTCAATGAAGGACATGAAATGAGTGCTTCTTTAGGGGAGTTGAGTAACTCAGAAGAGTGTAGAAACTACTCTTTTTTATCGTCGAATCCGGAAGGAAGAAGTGATGGTAGCTTTGAAGAAGATGAAGCATAAAAAAGCAATAGGCCCAGACAATATACCAATCGAAGTGTGGAAACTTTTGGGAGAGACAGGTATAACATGGCTCACTGACCTTTTCAATAGGATTTTGAAAACGAAGAAGATGCCAAATGAGTGGCGAACGAGCACTTTGGTGCCTATCTACAAGAATAAGGGCGACGTACAAAATTGCATGAACTATAGGGGTATTAAGCTAATGAGTCATACAATGAAGCTCTGGGAGAGAGTCATTGAGCATAGATTGAGGCAAGAGACACGGGTTTCGGACAACCAATTCGGGTTCATGCCAGGGCGCTCAACCATGGAGGCAATCTATCTCTTACGAAGATTGATGGAAAGATATAGAGATGGGAAAAAGGATTTACACATGGTCTTTATAGATTTGGAAAAAGCGTATGATAGGGTCCCAAGAGACGTTTCTTTGGAGGATTTTTAGAGAAGAAAGGAGTACGAGTAGCATATATCCAAGCTATAAAGGATATGTATGAAGGAGCAAAGACTGCCGTAAGAACTCATGAAGGACAAACCGAAAGCTTTCCCATAACTGTAGGATTACATCAAGGCTCATCTTTAAGTCCTTACCTTTTTGCGTTGGTAATGGATGAGTTAACAGGACATATTCAAGATGATATTCCTTGGTGTATGCTTTTCGCAGACGATATAGTGTTGATAGATGAAACTCAGGTAGGGGTAAATGCAAAGCTTAACCTTTGGAGAGAAGTGTTGGAATCTAAAGGTCTTCGCCTAAGCCGATCAAAGACAGAATATATGGAGTGCAAGTTCAGTGCAAATGGAGGCCAAAACGAGTTAGGGGTGAGGATCGGAGATCAAGAAATACCAAAGAGCGACCGTTTTCGTTACCTAGGATCTATCTTGCAAAAGAACGGAGAATTAGATGGAGATCTCAACCACAGAATACAAGCTGGATGGATGAAGTGGAAGAGTGCATCCTGGCGTGTTGTGTGACCGCCGTATGCCACTGAAGCTCAAGGGAAAATTTTATAGGACGGCAATAAGGCCGGCGATGCTGTATGGCACAGAATGTTGGGCGGTGAAACATCAACACGTACACAAAATGGGGTGTAGCGGAGATGAGGATGCTTCGTTGGATGTGTGGGCACACGAGAAAGGATAAGATTAGGAATGAGGATATCCGGGGTAAAGTAGGAGTAGTCGAAAATTGAAGGAAAGATGAGAGAAAATCGGTTACGGTGGTTTGGACATGTGCAAAGACGGCCTACTGACGCTCCGATTAGAAGATGCGACTATGGGACAGAGGTTCAAGGCCGAAGGGGTAGAGGAAGACCTAGGAAAACTTTGGAAGAGACTCTAAGAAAAGACTTAGAGTACTTGGATCTAACGAAGGACATAACTTAGGATCGAGCACAATGGCGTTCTAAGATTCATATAGCCGATCCCACTCAGTGACTTGGATTTTCCAAGTCTCCAACCGAGAAGTTTTCCTCACTCGGGAAATTAAGGGAACACTACCCCAACCTACATGCTCCACTAAGAAAGCTTCAACATACAAGCTTCAACAAAAGAAAATTCAAAGAACTTAGCGAAGAAGGCTTTGGTGTATTTAACACAATAAGTTGAAATGAAGGAAAGCTTATTTATTGATATCCCCGATAAGCTACAAATATGTACATATACATGAGTCAAAATAAACACACAAGAGGGAGCCTTCACAAAGGTTGCTTAGGAGAAGTCTCAGCAGTCGGTAGAGCCCCAGAAAGA